AAATATGTCTGATTTTTATTTTGTTACAAGCCTATTTGCTAAATGACGAAAGAGTAAGGTTTCGTCCTAAAAATACTTATTCTAGACTTTAATTTATGCATTTATTTATTAACGTCAATATATATATATATATATATTCTAAATTGCCCGTTTTTCTTCTAATTACCTTTTTCATATTCTCTTGCGCAGATCTTGAGGAGCAAAAAATTACTTTAAATCAGGAAGTGAATGAACTTCGCAATAGTCTACGGGAAAGTGAAAAGGCTCGACTCGACAGTCGACGTGAAGTTCAGGAACTCCGCCGTCATCGGAAGGAAATTAGTTCAGAACGCGATAAGCTCTCCGAAGAGGTATTGGAGTTGCAAGCCACCGTATCCAGAGACGAAGCTAAAGAAGAGGATAGAAGAAGAGAGAACTTTGTTCTTAAGCAGCGCATTGTAGAGCTAGAAAGCTCAAGGTAAAATGTTGCTTCAATAACGCACACATTAATTGTAGATGTCGCAACTTATTGTTCTAAGTTAGCTTGCTATTTGTCACCTCACTAACTCTTTACCAAGCCATTTGGAAAAGGAGTGGAGTAGATGAAACACAATCGGTTCATTAATATCACCAAACTCTATGATATATTCTGCTTATTTTAGAAATTTCATGAAGTTATTTAGCTAATTAATTTTTTTTCAAATAAATGCTCATTATTAAATCAAATAAAGAGAGTTTGAGTATAAAATCTCACTCCTGGCCTTTTGATAAGATGAACTTTTATAAATGATACTTACTTTGGAAGTTGTATGATCCTGTTTTCGCAACTTAGTCAAATTAGTAGGAAGACCTAGAGGAGCGAACCTAGACCACAATCCACTGTATGCATGATAATTTCCAGAGTCGGATTGTGGACGTAGTACATTCTTAGACGTTTTGCCGCAATCGTAGTCGGCATCGTAGTTGGCATCGTCAGTGAGTCTTGCCATTCTTAGCACCGCACTACAGCTCGTCAAAGAGAAAAGTGAAGCCGATCCTTTGGCCAATTGTTTGCTAAATAATCGTGGTATCTCTCTTTCCGCCCTGGGATAATCACCAATCCTATATCCTCGCCTTCACTATCACAATGTTTTACTTGCTTATTTAAATGTGGTATGGTGTGCCCTTCTGAGCAGCTTTCATGAGAACTCTCCACACTCCATGCTGGCTTTCTCACCCCCTCATCCTCCCTCCACCCTTGTGCTGGGAATTTTGATCAGATTCTGCCCTATTGGTACGCAGTCCTTTTTCCATCGGTCTTATCAGAGTCTCCCTCTTGCCCCGTGTGATCCGTCTGCTATCTCCATGGTTCAAGTATTTTACTCGAATCCTGCCACACTATCTGTGCTACTCGAGGCGTTATTTACCACACTCTGCATCTTGGAGACTCACTGATGATGCTTACCACGATGCCGTCGAAACGTCTGGGAATGTACCACATCTATGGTCCAACTTTGGAAATTATCATGCATACTATGGACTCCAATAATTACTTTAGCCTCAGCCCCAAAATCTACTTGTAATTTGTGCATATTAAAGAAAATCCCTTAGCACACCAAATTAAGCCACGGAAATTACTAATTCCTAATTTTTCGTTAATTGTATTCGCTTCGAACATTTTCTATCAAATACACTTGACTTAATCATTTAAAATGTATTAAAAATATACCAAAAAATACTGTGATGTATTAAAATTAATCTAAGAATTCTCGAAATAAGACACTGAACTTAGCGTGCATTAGACAAAAATACACTAGTAAATGATTAGATTATTCATCCACAACCTATCGACATCTCAACCAAATGATCCCTAAGAAAATGGGACTAGAGTGGAAAATCTATCGTATTAAGACAAAATTGGTGGGGAATATATTTTAATATTAAATCTTTTCGATGTATTGCAGCGATATGGCTTCGTTTTTGTAATTGTTCCCTTTTGTCTGGGCTTCATCGACGAATCTACCTCGTCCGCATTTAATTGCAACTGTATACAGTCTGTCAATACATATTTTAGTGTTTCAATCCAAATTACTCCTTACTCTTTACATCTCGCATTTTGCCCTGATTGCTTTATTATCTCGCAATCCAGGTCATAGCCTGAAATGGTAGATCAAGTAATTCCGGTAAAGACTCATTTCGCCTCAATTAGGTAAATAGAGGTTATGCCATAGATCATTTCAAAGTTTTAATGCTAATCACTTAAGTATATTTAACATCATCTTGGAAATATTCTATTAGCATTATCTTACGAACTGCTTTTCTACCTTTCTTGGTACCATATAGTTACAGCTGAACCATCAACTTTGGGTTTAATTTGCTAGT